ATAGTTTGCAAATGAAAACATAGACAGCTTGATGCAAATATCATAAAGTGCTGTACAGCAGTGAGAGTCTTAGAGACTGTGGCGTGTAAGGTGATGTGGGCAAACACTCTCTCCAAAGTACAGAATCCCTCCTAACATGCTCAGCAAAGCCTAAGGATGGCTCTCTTAGTTTTATTGTTTCCTGAAGAATCCATTTTGCAGTGCACAGTAAACCTCAAGGTTTGAAGGCCACTGGAAATAAATAGCTTATTGGCAAAATTGAGATGACCTATGATTCACACACTGTATCCATTATCAGATTTTGAAGAAGGTCAGACATTTAGAATCCTGATCCTCCTTACTTTATCAACAGTCATCACAAGGAGTTACCATGAAAAGAATAGGAGTTGGGGAAAGAAGCTATAATAGCCAGAAAGGTGGAACTGGAAATTTCAAGCAGTAAATAATAGATCTAAAGAAATAAGCCTGACCTTCAGGGAGCCAATAACCAAGATTAAGTGCTTTTACACTGAATAGAAAGAAAAGGCAGTGCATCTCAGCAAAGTGTATTGTAACTGTGTGGCCAGGGTTGACCACAGCAAAGGCATTCCTTTAAAAGCTGAAAATTAATTGATTTTCACTTGCTTTAAAAAGTGGTAATGAGGATTTTCAGAAGAGCCTTACAATGCTGGTTGCTCAGACTGATGTCTGAATGGGACCTCATGAAGCTGCCACAGAGGGCACCCACTGACCTCAGAAATCCAGCTCTTTGCAGGGTTTATTGCAAAATATTCACCAGCCTTACCACCTTCTCCCTCCACTGCCTGCTGCAGCATTGGCTGGTATAGCTGCTCTTTATTTTTCCCACAGACACTCAGAAGAACATAGTTGTACATCTGTTGTGTAAGAGAGTGCAAACTTTGAAGGAAATTTTGCGGATTGCATTGATAAGCAGAAATTGCCTAGTGAAGAACTGGTTTAGCATGAGTGTGATGTTTTAGTGGATTAGTAATAGTAACAGCAATAAGAATAATAGTAAGTAAAGGAGGATATTTTGTTGAGATGCCAATTAGAGCTGTAAGGACTTTCCTTTTTCTTTTTTTTTTTTCTTTTCTTTTTTTTTTTAATACAAAAATAGAGCTTTTAAGCATCAAACAAAGTAAGTGTTCAGTAAGCAAAGTATTACTTTAACAGACCATAATGCACAGATCATTGCTGATTTGCAGTGATAACCACCTCACTTGGCCATAAGGACAAGAAGATATCTCCTCCTCCCATTATACCTTTTTAGTTTGCTTAACTACCCTTGCAATCAATAGAGAGTTTATAATTTATGCAAGACATTATTAAAAAAAACAAATCCAATTTTGTCTGGGTTTTGAGCATGATTTTACCTATAAGCAGTATTATTGTTTTTTCTTTATTGCATAGATGAATTAAAATTGAGCATGATCTGGTGATGGAGCAATAGAATCACTTTAGCTGCTGAAACTATAGAAATCACCCTCTCTTCCAGTTCATGTTAATCTTGCAGTTAACAAGATTTTTGAAGGTAGAGCTGTTTAGAGCTGTTCAATTAAAAGAGTTTTTTAATGTCAGATTGAGGAGTTGTTTCTGGTACTGGATGCCTAGTTTTGCTGTATTTCCTTAGCAGCAGCTTAGAGTGCTGGTGTCAGGGTTGCAGAGATATTGATGCACAGCTTGTCTTTATGTTAGCAATTTTGTTTGTCCTTAGAAAGCCATAGTGGCGAAGGCTCCCCTGGGTAGGGGTGTCCAGCCCTTTCTTGTAGTATTTGCAGCCTGGAGATCAGATCATTCATATATTCTCTGCTAGCAGGTGCAACAGGGTGAACTTTAGGCCTGGAGCTCTCTTTTTTAGATTAATCACAGGAATTCTTGCTTCTGTAATCTCACTGCTGATCATGGCACTGGTCTCTGCTTGTAAATTGCCCTGAAGCTCCAGCTAGAAAATAGTGAAGCTGCAGCAATCTGCCGCTGAAGTAATATTCTCCATGCTAGTGTTCAACATTTTGCTTTGGAGAATAATTCATGTTTGCAAGTTGTGGTCTGTAAAGCCCTAAATTGTCAGGACACCTCTGTTTAGAGCTATGTGTCCTGTTGCAGAGAATTACAGTCTGTTTCACTCTCTGGCTGATTTTGGGGTAAAAACTTTGTGGTGAAGAGCAGAGAGTCCTTTATCTCATACATAGTATTTTTAGAGAAAATACACTTATGAAACACAGATGACAAACAGTAGTTACAGCTTATATTCAGAAGTTATATTTGTGGAATAGGATCCTATGGTTTGAGTGCATAGCAGAGGACGCATGCCTTCTCGGAGGCCCTTCCAGGATCTGGGAGGGCTAAATTTAAAATCTTAACAGTCTACAGTATGCTTAGCTACTTACTAGTTGCATTTGTTGTTTTCCTGTAGTTTACTGTAGTTAGCAGGATTTGGGGGCATCAGATTCAAGCTGCACATGTGGTCAGTGGCTTGCTGTTAACCTTTTAGCTGAAATGGTACTGTTTTTCTCTACAATTGATTGGTTTTCATTTAGAAAAGAAAAATAAACCCAAGCCGTGAGTGATGGGAGCTTATGCTTTTGATACGTAATTGTTATGGAGGGCATCAAGGTCAAAGTAGTGGTATTTCATTAGCAGGATTATATGCACAAATTCTTGTTAATTCTGATGTCCCAGAGCTCTTGGTCAGGCAAAGGAGGGGCGTAGTTCCAGGATGCATAGCCTCTGGTGGGGAGCTGCTGAAAGCTACTAGGTTGGTTTTGGTTAGAGTTTATTTGCCTGGAAAATTGCACATAACCCATACTTGGAAAGATAATGCTTTGGTTCTGGAATTGGGCTGAGGGCAAGTTATAAACATTAAGCAGGTTTGGGAGAGATTCCTTGGGAAAATGAGTTGTTTTTTTGCATATCACACAACCGTATGTCAGTGTTGTATGGAGTCAAGGGACTTTGGAACTCCTGTCCTTCCAAGTGAAACATGTGCTTCCATAATCTGTTACAGAGATGAGTCTGGAAAAACCTCTGGACCTTGCAGGAAAGGACAGGGAAGTGATTTATGGTGCCTGGTCAGAGCAGCCAGGTTCAGAGCCAGGGATGGCAGCAGGCCTGAGACTGCATGGCTGGCAGAGGGGGTGAATGAGGAGCAAGGGCAGGCTATGCTTGAAGTGACAGCAAGGGGCTGCAAGCAGCAAGGAACAAGGCTGTTTTTCTAGTCATGATGAAAGCTCACTTGTTGAGAGTCTAATCCTAGTCTGTCTGTCTCTCTTCTCCCTTTATCCACAATTAAAGCACCTTTGTATAATACTGTAATATTGTGCCAATCTTTCCTTCCCAGTCATTTTGGTATACTTAGCAAGTGCTCCCTATATGAGTTGCTGACCTTTAGCATTGAGCCAGAAAATCTGTCCTTTCAGATTTGCTTCATATTTTCAGGAAATATCAGCAAGCCAAAACAAAAATCTTGGCATTTATTCCACACTGCACAGTCTAAAAATTATTTTTAGCTCTCATAAATTCTGGATTTTTTAAGCTATGGTAACAAAATGCAGATTAAAATTTATGTATTTTATAGGTGGCTGCTCTTTGGAAACTTGGTGTCGTGTAAAAGCTTTCATAATGCCCAGCGTTGGTAGCTGGAAATCGCATATGCTGAAACGCAGACCATGCAGATAATTAACATTATTTGAGAGTTAGTTCTAGACAGTTGCATATTTCTTGCAAAGATGAATAATTTTTTCTTTAAATACTACAAGGTGGGGGATGTTCTAGATGTTGTTACCCACTGATGGATACAATTTTAGAGATTTCTAGAGGTCTGTTGTTTAAAATTAAACCAAATACATCTTTGTCAGAGCAACTGACTTATTTAACCCACAGTATTTATGGTTTTAGCCCCTGAAAGGACAGTTTTGGGAGAGCAGCATATTTATTTATTTGCATATATTTTGGATGTTTATTTAAGCTGGTAGGGAGACCATGGAGTAAGGCCAGCAGGCAGAGCTGTGTCCTACCCTGCTGACTTTAAACCTTGACTTCAAAATCCAGACCTGACTCTAATTTTTTTAAGTGTTTTGTCAGTTTATGGTGACATGAACCAAGTCCTGCCAGCCTGAAGTTCTAAGGTCTCCAAATTTGATGGCCTATGCACCAAAAGGCCTTTGTATTCTGAGTCCTGAGATGGAAGACTACACTGCACAGAATGATTGATGAGGACTGCAGTGCCTGCATCCCCAAATGCATTGCCTCAACACAGCTGCTCTGCACTTGTGTCCTGCTGGGCATGGCTGTCAGCAGTGGGTATTCCATGGAGGCAGTGTGTGGATTGGGTTCAGCAAGGTGTTGTCTAAAAGGTGC